CCTACTATACAATTCAAATTAATAGCAAAAATATTTAATCAGTGACAAATAACTATCACCCCAATAAAAACCCTAAAACATACATCTATCCTTCAGATTCAAACTCATGAAATTATGCAATATATGTGAAGCTGTTGATCTAAGTACTTGGAAAAAATGTCCCAGTCCAATCCCAGTCTTTGGGATTCTTATGCAGATCCAACATGGTTTGGCCAAATGAGTGAGTTGACAACTTTAATGATATGCAGTGCCTTGCAAAAGTATTCAGATCCTTTAAGTTTTCAAATGTTTTTGGATTACAATGTTTAAAGACAAAATGACTTATTTGTGAGTAGATATCTTAAAGAAAGTCAAAAGCTGAAATATTCTGGTCACATAAGTATTCAGACCTCTGTGATGTGGTACAGTAGCTCTAAATCAAGGTGAATTCATTTTTTAGTCCAAGCACATTATTTGGTGTAGGCTTGTAATATTTTGGCCATCAAATCCAGATATGTTGTGATTTCAATTGGACCAAAATGTCTGAGATCAAAAGAAAAAATAATTTATATTAATTATACGTCAGAACTAAAATGCTAAAATGTTAAGACTTATGGTGTCGAGAAAGAAAATGTAAACCCCTCCAGGTTGGTCCATATTCTTGCATATGAATGTTTTCATAAAACAAAAATATAACTTGAGTAAAAAATAACAAAAAACTTAGATATATTTGAAATATTTAATTAAAATGATCCAAAGTACATATCCTTATATTCAGTAACTGCTGGCAATTCCATGAGAAGCAATGACTTCAACTAGACTTAGAATAGCTGCTTTTATGATTTTTACGCCCATTCTTCCTTGAATGACTGCTTCATGTCAGTGGCAATTGAGGGTTTCCTTGCATGTCTAGCTCACTTCAGGTCTTGCCATAATATTTTAATGGGGTTTAGGGCCAGACTTTGACTTAGCCAATCCATAATGTAAATCTCCTTCTTCAATTCTTCAGTTCCTGTTGTACTGCAGATATGTTTGTACAGTATGTTTAGGATCATTTTGGAACTCATCTACATTTGATGTGTGGATGATTTCTTCCAGAGTTTGTTTCAAGACCAAATTTATGTTCTTGTGAATGATGCAAGCTGGGCCCTGAGACAGGATGAGGTTCTTCTGTTGGAAGGCAGTGTTTGAGGTAAAAAACTTCTATTTTTAACTTAGCTGTCCAAAGATCATTCTGGAAGATCATTCTAAGGAATCTTCTGGATTGCCCAATTGTTCATTGGCAAACTTGGTGATTTCGTTCAAGCAAATCTGACATGTAAACCTTCCCTTTCAGTCTTTTCCCAGTGGCTGAAGCATGAATGCTGATATGTTCTGCCACAAGAGAGTCCTAAAGATTCTTAAACAATACTTTTTGTTTCTGTGTAACCTCCTGGTTTATGCTCTGGACTGCTTTTAGCAAGATGGTGCTTTTAGTAAGATGACCAGTCCTCGACAGAGTCAATGCGGTCTTGGAAATGTTCAATTTTTATACTGTCTGGCAGAGGAAGTATAGAGCTCCAAATGTTTAGAAATGTTTTTGTCCCACCAACTATTCTTTTTGTAAAAAAAAAAATCATATTTGGATCATGGCTTAATGTTCTCCAGTAACATGTGCTGTATACTGAAAACCAAACTCACAATGTTACTGAACTTTATGTACAACAGGGTTACCCAAACACCTTGGTAACTGTTTGTCCAATTATTTCAAATCCTGATTACTCCCTTAAATATGCTTAGTAATGGCTCACATAAACTGAATCTTAATAAATCTTCTTTTTTTCTACTTCATACACCACTGCATCTCATAAAACATTGATTGAGGTTAAATATCAACCCTTTAGGTTATTTAAGAAAAGACTGTGTTTGATTCAACAATGGTAGGAAATTATGACTCTCATTATTTTTGGGATTCTTAAACCTTTTTCTGGTGCCGTAAATCTTACAGTAGCATGGACACCTTCTCAAAATTAAGAAAGGTTACATGAAGAAGAGATATTTTAACCCATCTCTTGAGTAATAAAAATGCTATTGTGAATTAAACATGTTTTTGTTCTAAGGAATTTATTTTTTTGATAGCACTGAGCAACTGTGTTAGCATGAAATAGGAATTGAGTCATCTTATTTGCATACTTTGCACTAACTAGCTTAAAGGATTAAACACAAAAGGTCTGAGTTTCAACATAGCAAAACAACACCTCTGTCTGAATATAAAGCATTGTACCACAAAATATTTGGAGCTCTATCCCATTCATGAATAGAGTAAACACATAGTAGGAGAATAATACTATACTTTTATACAAGCTTCTCTAAATAATTGTTAGAGTGAAATATCATCCTATGAGCTGAACAGAGAAGACTATTAGAGGACCTGACATAAGTATTCAAAATTCTTAAAGACACAGACAAAGACAGCTCACGTTAGAAATAACAGTGAAACGTGGGGGTGCAAGTGGAAAATGTGGCAGTGCATTTTAAACCAAGAACAAGTTGCAATTCTTTACCCGAAGGGCTGTGAGAGTATGGAACAAGCTACCCAGCCATGTTGTTGCAGAAAACCTGGCTTCTTTCAACATTTTCAGTATACTGTACATTTAATCATCTACTTACAGTATATGCTTACTACTAAATGGTCACCTTTTGTTTGTAACCTTCCATATTTTTAAAAACATAATCAATTGTGTTTCTTCTCCCTTTCTTCCCTATGATACAAATGTCTTCTTCTGCATAATTTTAATCGACAAATACAGTATATGTGCTTACACAAAACTGAATTACATAGACACACCTGAAGATGGACAGACATTATCTTCGTGCATCGCTGAAAACTGACAAGTACCATAAAACCAAAATTTGACTTTTTTTTTAAAGAAAACCTCACTTGAGTCATGCATTTCATTTTTCCTCAGATACACCTTAAAAACAACAAATCCGTTTTAAAGTTGAAAAAAAAACATATAATTTTCTAAAACAAATGAAATAGCTTCCAACATTCTCTGTGGCTTCTCTTGACATACATTCTGAAAATATATTCTTTTGTTTTGCTTCAGTTATTTCTTTTCTTATGTTAAGAGTGACTGATTGACTGATGTACAGTATTTATTTGTTAATTTTATTATTGAAATTTAGTTCTGCCTGGTCCCATTATTAACTGCTACAAGTTCATGAAAGAAACTGTCTAGTACTGTACTAAAGTATGAATAATTAACAATGTATTGCCAAATATATAATTTCTGGTGTTTGTTGTACACAGACAATGTTCAGAGCAAAGTCGGTACAACTCAAATACATTAATTTATAAAATTACCTGTAAGATAGAAACTTAGTAAATTTAAAAATTTGGCAATGCACTATTAAGTTTTAATACATGAAAAACACAAGAAATGTGTAAAAAACATCTAGAACATGCGTCTTTACTGACATACCTGTACAAGTGAATTTGTAATAATGAAAGTGAAGGAAATACTCAGGACAAAAATTACATGCAATATCATCTACAGTATCCTTATGTTTGCTTTACATAGACTGATTAACAATCACATACACATTATTTAATCATATTTCATCAGTTGGAGGCTAACATTTGTAAGTTGTATGGAAGGATTTTGAACAATATAATAAGAAGTGCTGACATTCTTGTATTACTTTATTTAGTATTATTTTAGTTTTCTACAAAAAGCAGAAATGAGTAATTCACTTAAACCCATTACATCTTTATATCTTATAATACTTAGATACATACTTAGTGTACTGACCTTAGTAAGAAGTTATGACACTTAAGAGCATCATTTCTAAGACAAATCAGTAAATTAATGCATTTGAATATGCCAAAGACCTGCCTTTCTTGATATTAATCTCTTGATCATTTACTATATAAGTAGCCATAAAACAGGCTCAGATGTTTTCAACCAGTGGTCCAGGGACCCCTTGAGGTCCCCAGAAACTTAGTAAAACTATTTTAGTGATGTGTGAAATTAACAGACTCTGGATTTTTTCAACATTTATGGTTGTTATGCTCATCTACATTTTCATTTTTAATATTAACAATAGCTAAACTTATAACAAGAAAAGAATGCAATGTGATTTCTTAAGACACTGTCCTTATTTAGGGGACATTATTGGAAATGGGTCCCCTTGCACAAAAGCACCAAGTTAAATGCTTCCTTTCAATCCATGTTCTAATTAACAGTGGTCAGCACACCAGCTGGTCCCATTACCAACTTAAAAGCATTAGAGAGAAATAAGTTGTCATTCTTATAATAAATCATTCCAAGTAAATAAGCTTTGTCTATTCACTACCATTAATATACACTTTTATCTAAATAATCAATCAGAATTTCACCAACATACAGTACCACTATTGCTGTTGGTACTGCATCTGTAAGGGTCCTACTGTTGATTCATTCCATTAAGAGATGAATAATATTAATTTTCAAACACGAAAACAAACTATCAGTTTCAAAGGTATACTTTTCATAGAAGTTCACAACAGTTAAATAAAATGCACATAGCTTAGACCATTACCCACGCAGTATTATTCACAGCTCCAATTTAAATGGAAAACTTAAATCATTTCCACAAATACAGTACCTTTCCTATACCATTTTCCGGTGACATTTTTTTTTCTTTCTGGATTCTGCATTGCTCTAGAATTAACCTTAAAAAATATGGCTTAAAACCACTTTCATCAAAATTGCCAGGCATATAGTGTCACAGCGAGGCGAGCTATCTGTGGTACACTGTGCATATCAATACGACTGTATTATATCGTTAAATATATTTTCATAGAAAACAATATTGGTGCTAACAGGCTTTAAAAACATAATGACTTTTTGCTAAATTTCACTATTTGGAAACCTCACCATGGAGTGCAGCAACGGTCTGAAGCAGATTCCGAGCAGGCAGGTAAATAACTACACACCCCTTCACCCTTGTAGAGATGCATGCCACATGCCAGAATGGGTATTGCAGAAAGAACTTACCAGACCGTAGGCGCAGCTCAGGGCTGAACAGCACAGAATAATGCTCAAACTGTGTAGCAGTAGAGTAGATCCCATAACTAAACCAACTAAATCGAACCTCCAACAACCGCTGGAATAAAGTAACTTCATATGGTTTGATAGCCACTTAAAAATGTTTTCACTGACGTTTTCATCCACTTAAATCGGAGCCAGAGAACCGGTCATCTTTTTGCATCCATTCTGTTTCCCCATAACGTAGACGATCGTGGCTTGTACAATTATTAAAATAATCTCTAGGCTGCTTTTTTTTTTTCAAATCTGCAACACATTTAGTCTGCGCTGAGACTCTTTATTTCTCTGCATCTGTCTGTTTTGCAAAAATCACATCCATATGTCAAAACTGTTATTTATTTCCTTCTCGTTCTGCGGTGGGAAGTTCAAATGATTCTTTGTGGAGAAGAAACCAGTACTTTATTTTTAGATCTTTTAATTTTCCTTCTGCCGTACTTTCATTTCAAAGAATGTTACTTTTAAACTTGTTTTCTCTTAAAACAAGAGAGATCAAAATGCGGATCTGCTATTTAGTAAATTGAATACACGTTACAAAAATTATAGGGTTGAAAACTGCACGCTAATTACATGCTGTAGGGATCAGCGTCAAATTTGAAGAAAAAGAAATAAGACCATTTTTGCACATACAAGGTCAATATAAAAACAAAATACATATTACAGCTGGCATCTATAAAACATTTTAGATCTCGAAAAAAGATTGCTTTGCATTCTGATCAGCTGTTGAATCACGAATCACGTTAGCTCATAATCAAAACAGTCAATAATTAGTGTCCACTTGAAGATCCGGAACATAGTTCATGTATTCTTTGTACGATAAAAAGACTTTCTTCTTATATTCTGACAGAAAGTCTTCATAACACAAGTTAAAGCTTCTTCACATTAGCCACACTACTTCAAGAAACATAAACCTCTTTCATTCACAGTAAATGTTAGGTTCGGGGGCTCTCCAGTTGCAGATGATTTAAAAACAGGAAAAAAATCTTTCGCAGCAGTATTGCATATCCTCAAAAAAGTAGAAACTGACAAAGATGAAGTTTGCCACTTTCAAACCGAAGTTTAAAACTTAAATCCTTAACCATCAGTAGGAGGCGCTTCCATTTACTGAAGGTACGTGTGCAGTTTTTTTTTCGGTTTAAACCGTTTTGCAGAGCAGGCAAGGGGATATGCAGCTACTGTACATCTTGTTTAATCATACTAGTGTGCATGTGTTGTATTCGTAAGGAAACTCGTTTATCATAATTATCTGCTTGTACTGCAATTAGTTTAACATGTTTTCATTACTCTATGGAAAAAAAAGACAAAGCCCTTTTCCAAAGGAAACACGAAAGTTAAATTTCCACAGCTTTAAGTCAGAATCCTCCTGCAAATGGTTATAAACCCCCCAGCTCCGTTTGGTTCTCTGTGCCTTTCTCGAGTAGTAGGGACAGAAAGAGGCAGATATTAAAGGGAAGCATGACAGGACCCGATTGGTTCATAGTGTCTTCCATGTGATACAAGCACTGACTTCAAATGACATCTTTTCCCACCCCTTTGCCACTGACACATTCATACATTGTGTTACAGAGTTCTGAAAATCTTCATACAGGCTGGTTTTATCGGCTTTTTGCAGATTTTAAGGTTCGAAGGACACATTATTTCAGTGTTACAAAGTGAAAAAAATATGCAGAGACCATTTTTTGTGGTCAACCGAGCGAACGGGTTTATTTTTAGGTTGGGTTCGTGAAAGAGAAATTATACTTTGGCCATTCAAGGCTACAATGAAATATAAGGAAATATTAAAATAATGATAATTTAATTTAAAATAATAAGCATATTTGCTACACAGTTAAGTGTATTTAATGTCAGATATTCTCAGTCATTTATAATTTTAAGCCTGTATTTTTTTCCCAGGAGGATAATATACTGTAGTGACCCTTAAAAACAACCAATTTTTTTTTTCCATGGAAAAATCTATAGGTTATCTGTAGGTTATTTTATAAGGGAAATAAACTGTTGGACCATCAATGATACTGATACTGCTTGAATAAGTATTCATATATAAACACAGGCACATATTCAGTGTCTTGTATGTAGACCCTTGCAGAGTTTTCACATTTTAATGCTTTAAAGATTGCAATCCTGTCTGTTTGAAGGAGCAATTCATATTTATTACAGTAAACTGTATACACAAACTCTCCCACACATTGAAAGCAAAAAAGAAAGAAGCAAATAGATCATTTATATGAAAGAAAAAATTTAAAAATAATTTTTTTATTGATAATGAAAACAACATGATTACACAAATCAAAGTAGTTTGCACTTTCAAACCTCAATTAATGAAGCTGAACCTCAGTTAATTAAGGTGCAAAGAATTGCTTTAATGCTTAAAGTTAGTTAAGTGGCCTTTGTATGCAACAAAAGTCGTTCACATGATTCCAGAATAACTAAACCTATCTACAGTATGTAAGGTCCCTCCATCAGGTAGTGAATCTGAATATTATAATGCAAACATTGAACTATGGAGACCAGGGACATTTCAAAACAACTCAGAGAAAAAATGGTATATGAAGATACTGATTAAGAGAAGGGTAGAAAAAAGATTAAAAGACCTCAGCAGCCAAGGTGGAGTTGTTAGCCTTTGTGAGGAATCTAAAATCCTGCTTGGCGTTTACAATAAAGTACCTAAGTAAAGGATACCTCTAACATGATGCAAAACATTTGTGGTCAGACAGGACAAAAGGGAACTTTTTTATCTAAATGCATTGTGTTACATTTGATACAAACCCAACATAGAACACCAGTCAGTCAACACCATCCCTACTGTTAAGTATGGTGGTGGCATGTTTGTGATAAAGTTCTGCTTCTCATCAGCAGGGACTGGGAACATATATTGCAAATCTTAGAGGAAAACCTGGTCCAGACCTAAAAGTGGGGCATAAAAAAATTGCGTTTCAGCAAAACAATGATCCAACGCAGAAGGCTAAAACTACTGTACACTGGAATGGATTAAAAATAGTGAATGTTCTTAAGTAGCCCAAAAGTCCTGACTTGAATCGTGTCCTGAATATGGAATGACTTGAAAACTGCTGTCCATAAGAGATTCCCAAGCAACTTGAGAGACCTTGAGAAAATCTGCTAAAGTTACATTGAAAACCCACCGCGAAAACTCACCTGATCAACAAGTGAACTACGGGCGGAACTGTGGACAGCTGAATCTAAGTATTCAGAACTAGCGCTACGTCAGGAACGAACTGGTCTTGTGCAGAAACTCTGCTAGTAAGCCAAAACTAACTAGCCGGTCTTCAGAGAGCCCACTGTTAGAGCATCGCAGCAAGAATCTCTCCCACTTCCCTCCAGCCGCAACACCACTGCTTGGCACCAAGCCAGAGAGCGCCGACTGGACACAGCAACAAGCCTGCCGCTGTTTCTTTGTCTGCAGGAGATCTGAATCCACATAGATTAGATGAGTATTCAACATTCTGCATTACAGCTCGAGAATTCAATTGTTACCTCAATCAAAGTTGATATCAATTTAATTCCTTTGAGTGATGTACTTGCTTTTGAGTATCTAGTGTAGAAGTTGTAATCCAAGTTCATTTAGGAAATGGTCTAAATTAATTATATACTGAATGTACGTCCCTCTTGGTATTTGTAACTCTAATAGCCATCCAAGAATCATTTTGTGACTTACTGCTACAATTTATAATTGTCCCAGTAAAAGCACAAAACCCCTACATTTACTGGTGCCTTGTGAGAGAATGCCTACAGCTGAATAACATTAATTCCAAAAAATCATGACTCTTATCAAATCAACACATTTATTTTTTTCTCTTTAATTTTTGTTAAACAGTTTTTTGATTTTTACTGTAAATTATATTACACTTAGAAATCTTCAATGATACATGTAGGTTTTGAACTCAATATTATATTTAGAAAATGTGAATCTACTATTTTGTAATTTCACAACATTAGATATAAGAAGAGTCTGAAATCTTTCACAAGGCACTGTATTGATATACTGTAGGTATTTAAATCTTAAAAGAAAACTCTTACATTCAAAACTCTTTGTACAGGTGATAAAAAATAACGTTCCTGTTTCAGTACTTGAACACTGCAGGCCATCATACTCTAAAATTATATACCTGTACATGCATACATTCTCTATTTTGTTTGTATTTATACATATGGGTGAAAGGGTCTTAATTATCAATCACCTTTAGTGATTATAAGGTATACAAAACCTTAACAGCCAAGAACTGTTACCACTCTTCTCAATACATTTAAATGCAAAATAGGTAATGATATCAGAAAGCACAGACACACATTTGTGCTAAAACAAGCACTTTCACTGAAGTGTTTGCCTTTGAATGGGATTGGGGTATTACTGGAATGGACAGACGTCCCATCCAGGGTGTATCCCACCTTGCGCCAGTTGCTTGCTGGGATAGAAAATAAATGGATGGAATGTTGATAATGTGTTTTGAGTTTGGGAGTGATGCTGGAGAATGGAGTAAGGATCGTCTTGACCTGCAGGGTTCATGCTGAAGGCTCGGTATTCTGTGAGAAACTATGTAATTTACGAACCCTGTGCAGGTTTCCAGGCAAGGTCCAGAAGCTGAAGTATCCAAGGCAGGCGACAAGGTAGCGTGGTTGGTTATTCCAGGCAGGGTCAAGTCCAGGTAGTACACAAAAAGAGAGACAAACAAATCCGATAAGGGTGAGGCAAGAGCAAGATATCCAAAAACCAAAACCAAAGAGTCGATGTTCAGGGAGTCCAAATGAGGAAGAACAGGTACTAAGGAGGAAAGGGAGAGGTGAGCTGAGGAGGCGGAAAAGATCCTAATACCGAGCGATGTTACTGGGAGAACTGAGGGTTTAAATAGTGAAGGAAGGGGTGTGTAAGGGAAACTGGATAATGAGGGGTTAATTAAGACCAGCTGCAGCCATAACGTTCCCCCCCCTCTCCCTACGGGCGGATCCTGAAGTCCGAGATGGATGGTCTGGAAAGGCTTGATGAAAGCCCTGGAGAGGGGAACGGTTAAGGATGTGCCTGTCCGAAACCCAGGATCTCTCTTCAGGACCATAACCCTCCCAGTCTACGAGATATTGCAAGGTTCCACGAAACCTCAGAGAATCCAAGATTTTGTTCACTGTGTAAGCGAGGTGACCCCAGTCAAGGGGGGGGGGGGCAAAAGAAAGGTTTAAGAGCTGAAACATGAAAAGTTGGGTGGAACTTAGGAGTAGGGGAGAGAGCCAGGCAAAACCAAACAGGTGTGATCTGAGAGAGGATTCTAAAAGGTTCAATGTAGTGGGGTCCAAGTTTCCATGAGGCTTGTCGCAAGGGCAGGTTTTTGGTTGGTGGAGAACCAGACAAACTTTGGAATCTAGGAGCGGACTGGCGATGGCGGTTGGCTGCAGAGATCTGGCGTTGTGAGGACTTGAGAAAGGATTTCTTGGCAGTTTGCCAAATATATGTAGGTAATTTTCATGCACCAAGGGGACAGCTGTTGGGGGGCAGTAATCTGGGAGGAGGGTGGGTTGATATCCAAGGGAGAAATGGCAACATACCAGTGGGGGAAGAAGAAAGGAAGTTGATGCCATATTCCACCCAGGGAAGGAGAGAGGCCTAGTTGTTTTGTGAGGCTGAGGTGTAGCCCCTCAAGAAGGTGAGAAGGTTTTGATTGGTCTGTTCGTCCTGCCCATTAGCCTCAGGGTGATATAGATAGATAATACTTTATTAATCCCGTAGGGAAATTGATATGTTACAGCAGTCCAGCCCAAGACAAGCAAAACAGACATCAGAATAGTTATAAAACAAAAGACAAACAAGATAAATAAAAAATAAAATAAATACAGAGGTGTGTGAAGTCAAGTGTGATATCCAGAAGTCAAAGAGACCGACGTCCCCAGCGACCTGCAAAAAGCCCTCCAAAAATTAGAGAAGAACTAGAGCCACCGGTCAGAAACAATATCCCTAGGATATTGAGAAATTATGTAATTTACTAACCCTGTGCGGGTCTCCAAGTAAGGTCAGGTAGCTGAGGTATCCAAGGCAGGTGAGGGTGAAGTCCAGGTAGTACACAAAAAGAGAGGCAAACAAATCCGATAAGGGTGAGACAAGAGCAAGTAATCCAAAATCCAAAACCAAAAAGTCGACGTTCAGGGAGTCCAGACGAGGAAGAACAGGTACTAAGGAGGAAAGGGCGAGGTGAGCTCAGAAGGCAGAAACGATACTGTACCAGTACCGAGCAATGTTACTGGGAGAACTGAGGGTTTAAATAGTGAAGGAAGGGGTGTGTAAGGGAAATTGGATATATGAGGGGTTAATTAAGACCAACTGCAGCCATAACATTGGCATTAAAGAGTAAAATTAAAAATCGTTTTGAACAAATATCTTATGACAATTTATTGAGGC